GTGCGAGACATAAACACGACGTGTGGCGCACACAGTGGGCGGTGGCCAAGGGGCCGGGGCCCACGCTTTGCAGGCTATTTATAGCTTATCAGGTAGAGCAGAGTGCCCAGGTGTGAGCTGGCCACTGCCAGCACTGAGGTAACTGGGTCTGGGGGACGTGGGGGGGCGTGGCACGGGGGCTGTCCCAGCACCTAATTAGGGAGCAAAGGCCATGGCTGCTGCGTGCTCCGTGCAGCCAGGCAGGTAACTGAGATCCGGGTCTGGCACTACACGGGAGCTTGCGCAGGGGGCGGGCCCAGGGAGGCATGGGGCCCGGGGCGGGGCGGGGGGGCAGTCTCCTTGACGTGCCAGAGATGTAACTGGCTGACTGGTGGCTTGGTGCCTGAGTTGCCCTACAGGCCTTGCTGCCAGCCTGGTACCAGCAGGGCCCTTGTGCAAAACATTCCTCATCCCCCACCCAGGGTTACAGGGCAGCAGGGTCCCAGCCCGGGTGGGTCTGGGCTCCTTCCCCTCCCCCTCCCAACCAGATTGGAACCTGGGACCAGCTTCCCAAGGCCCCCCGCCCCCCCAGCTCTTCCCTCAAGCTCTCTAGGTAAGGCGGGTTCCAGACAGGGGCTGCCCCTCCCCATGAGAGCGAGGTTAGGGCACGTGTGCATGGTGACATGGGGGCTCCGAGCTCCTCAGGGCCCCCCCGGGCCACTCCCAGTGCGCACAGCATTCAGGGAGGTGACTCGTTGGCAGCCCCTGGTCTGGAAGGGCCTACCCGGTCCATACCCAGCTCACACCCATACAGGGGGTGCCATGCCACTGAATTCCTGGGGGCCACGGAGCCCAACAAGGCCCTACGGCTGCAACCTGCTCTGGCGTCCCGAGTCCTGCAGAGCGCGTGGGGCTGCCCCAGGGCTGGGGGGCCCTGGGCCAGGCCAGGCTGGGGAAAGGAGCCAAGTTCCAGGCATGTTGCAAAAGGGATTTTGCAAGTGGAGCTGCTACTCCCCCGAGGGCCTGTGAATCAGCTCCCCCCACTCCCCAGCACCAAGGCAATCCCCCCCCCACAAACACAAACTGAAAATCGCAGGCTTTTCCCCCTGGGAGGCCTCTCCACCGCGGGCCAGGTGGGGATAGGGAAGGGGAGCCCCATGCCAGCCAGGGGGAGAGTGGGACGGACGGAGGGACGGGAAGCAGAGAATGGCGGAGGCCGAGGGGCCAGCAGCAGGGAGGAGAGCGCTTGCCTCTCCTTTGTGAAATGACCCCCCTGGTCACGTCAGCAGCTCCCAGTCTGGCCCGTGGATGGACGGAGGGCTGCATGCCCAGCCTGGCTTTGGGGAACAGGGATGGCTTTGGGGAACCTGCTCCTTTGACTCTACTCCCGGGGGAGGACGGCTCTTCCTGACCCTGAACAGGCTGCTCCCCCGCTGAGCACTGGGCAGCCCCCACTATAACTGAGCGCCCAGTGGCAGGGCTCCCCCCGACACAGGGCAGGGAGCAGCAGGGTTATCCCGCCTGCGGGGAGGCGGGCGCTTCTGGGCAGGGATGGTGTTAGGCTCACTGGAGCAACAGGGGCAGCAGCACCCCCAGTCCAATAGCAGCAATGGGGTGTGCCCCACACGCCTAGGCCCCAGCAGCGCTCAGCACCTGCTTGCTGGAGGAGCCAGGGGTGGAAAAGAAGTTTGTGGGGTTCCAGGCCTGGCCAGCCCCGAGATGCAGAGACCCCTAATGGGGAATTGGGTTAGGCTAGTACGTAAAGGCGCAGACAACAAAGGCCTTGTGCTTTAGGGCTGGCAAACGCGCCAGGCCTGACGCAGCACCGGCTGGCTGGGTGCAGGTTTTTACAAGCCACAGGGTCTGTGCCGGCTGCGCTGCCGAGCCAGGCCAGGAGGCGCAGGGCCGTCGGGGTGGCCGCGTAGCCAGGTGTGAGTAAACACCACGCTCCCCAGCTGAGCCAGAGGTAAACTCCGTTCACCCTAGGCAGCGCTGCTGGCTGGAGCATCCGCCCGCAGGACCTGTCTGGCAGGTTTGCGTCTCCTCCCCACACCCCAGACAAGCCTGGGCCGGCCCCACTGGGGCAGCTGCTGTGTGTGGGGAGCTATGGGGTGGCAGGCTCCAGAGAGCACCTCCCACTGGGCAGCACCAGGCCCGGTGACAGCAAATGGGCGCCCCTGTGCCCAAGATACCAGCTGTCCCTAGGATCAGGCCAGCGCCGCCCCGACACCCAGCCAGGCCCTGCCCTCCTGGCAGGCGCTGGTTGGAGGTAGCAATGGCTTTGTAGTCTCACGTTGTGAATTTCCAGCCGCAGGAGCTGGGATCGTGGGACCGGATTCCTCTTCCCCCAGCTGCTGCTCTCAGCCCTGGGCCAGGGCCCGGCATCCCACCCGGGTCTGTCAGCCCATGGAGGGGGCTGCAGGGGGTCCAGCATCCTGCCAGGTCTGTGTCAGCCAGCGGGGCCATGTGAGATTCCTCCCACAAGGCTACGGTGTTACTAGGGAACAGTGTCAGGGGACACATTATCCACAGGACCCCCCCCCAGCCATCACCTCTCCCAGCAGGGGGTGCCGTAGGGGGCAGGGCAGGAGCACTGGGGGGGCTCAGATGCTGGGGTTGGATTGAGCTTCCCAACAGAGGCTTTTGCAAACTAGGGAATCTGTTTCCTCCCCCCCCCCCTGCCCCCAGGAGCCGCTGCCCCTTGAATGCCCTGGCCCTGCACAGGGGAGGGTGTCAGAGCTGTGGGGCTGGCCAAGGCAGCTGTCTGAGAGCCCCTAAAGCTGCAGGTGGGAATGGGGGCCTGCACTGGGGGTCCAGGGCCCCTCTAGGCCTCCTCTGCATTCAAGGGAGTTTAAACAGGTTGAACCAAGCTGGTGCCAAGCCGCAGGGGGAGCCATCTGGGGCAGCAGGGCCCGGCTGTGTAGGGCCTGGCCCAGTCCCCCTCCTGCCCAAGCCACTCTGAAGGGGAGACGTGGTGACAGCTCCCACCTCCCGCCCTGTGCCAGCCCCACACACTGGCAGGGCAAAGATCTGCTCCCTGCCTTCCTGTCCCTGCCCCCACCCACCCAGGGGGGAGGGAGCCCCGGCCAGGCTGAGCGACTTACTCCTAGGTCCCCTGGCAGCAGGGGGCCCTGTGCTAGCAGGAAAGTGGGGAAAAGCTGGGGTCTGGGGGGGGATGCTGCTGCCCAGAGGGCAGGGAGGAGAAGGATCCCCCCGGAGCCCAACCGACCCGTCCAGACAGGGAGTGGGGCCAGCGTGGGGGTGGCTGGCTGGGGAGTTGGGGATTCCCCATGGGACCCAGCCAGGGGTGCCAGGTACAGCGGCCATGCAGCTGCGAGTCAGCCCCTGGGCACCTCTGCCATGGGCACTGCCAGCACCAGGGCCCCAAGGAGCCACCTGGTGCATTCCCTCAACCCCAGCTGGGCCGAGCCCCTCTGGGTTGGGGGAGCCACTTACCCAGCACCCCCAGGTGCCAGCTCTTATGCAGAGGGGACATCTCCCACCTCTGCCAGGCCTGGGGTCACTGGAGGGGCTTGTGTGAGGGAGCGCAGTGGTGCTGTGCAGGGACACGCAATCACACGCATGCTCATCTGCGTGACAACATATATGCTCATGTGCAGAGACAGACGAGTGGCCATACGCACGGACACACCCAGGCAGGGATGCTGAGAGCCACTGAACCAAACCAACCCTGGATACGCTGGGAACCGCTTCAAGCCAGGGGTGCAGCCCCCCGGTTCCAGCCCCTCCGTACCCAGTGGCTAACTGTGCTCCGCCCGCTGTATTTGCCATGGGACTCTGCTGCCCCCTCCACCTGCAGGGGGGCAGGTCCCAGGCTGTCTCTCCTCCTGCCAGCTCGCCAGGCCGGTGGGTGGGGGGGCAGCACGCCACCCAGGCGGGGCCCTGCTGGACTCGAAGGGCCTGGTTTGCCTTGGCCCCAGCTCCCCCAACTCTGCCGTTATCAGCCAGCCCCACCCACACCCACATGGCACCCAACCTGGCACCAGCCACAGCGGTCAAGGGAGCACTGCCCCTGGGGACTGGGTGTCAGAGGCTGCTGTACCCTGGGACCGGCCAGCACCCCTGCCGCACGTCAGGGTCTGGGGCAATGAGGATGGAGCAAGGACCCAATGGAGGTGCCAAGGGTCACCTTCCCAGACCCCACCCATGCCCTATGCCTCCCCCAGGGGGCTGCACCTCCCTACCTCACTCCCCCCTTGCAGTGCTGGAGCCCCATTACCTGGGGGGCCAGCCCCACCTTCCCTTCCCAAGTGTTACCTGAGGCTCTGGGCCAGGAATCGCCAGGTCCCTGGTGACAGGAGAGCCTGGGTGCTTGGTTGTAAGTGCCCTGCCCCAAGCCCACCCTTCCCATGAGCCAGCCCAGCCCCGGCCCACAGGAGTCCAAGGCAGCCCCCACTGGAGACACCCCCAGCCCCCCGCACCAGGCAGGAGCCAAGGGGGGGGAGGGAGCTGGAGTAGGCACCCTCCCACCCCCCAGGGAGCAGAGCAGGTACCGGGCGGCTCAGTCACCTCCCGCTGCCAGCCAGCCCCAGGCGCCCGGCGCTGAGCGCGGGGGCATGAATGGCCCCTTTGTGCACAGACAAAGCAGGCGGGCAGCCCTTTGAGCGGCTGTTTGCACAGGGAGGGCCCTGCCCTGGACTGAACCCGCTCCCCCTGGCAGGGGCCAGGGAATGCAGCCAGCAAGAGCCCCCAGAGGGCCAGGGGCGGGGCACGATAGCACCTCCTGGACCCATCCAGACCCTGGGGTGCCAGGGGCCAGACCCAGCGCTGAGCCCCATGCCAGCGTGGCAGGCCTGGCAGAGGCACTGGGATGGCATGTGCACAGGGCTGTCACGCACAAGTGCGCCGGGGAGCTGTAAAGGTGGGAGGGCCCAGCCGGGAAGGGGGGGCGGGCCTGCCTTGGGACCAGGAAGTTGGCAGTGCTTGTCAAAGGCCGCTGCCAGCTGCGCCCGAGGGCACCTGACCCGGTGGCCCCAATCCAAGCAGCCCAGGGGTTGTTTTTTTTTAATCCTTTTATTTTTTATAGACTAAGAGCAGAATATGAAAATCACCAGCCAAAGCACTTGAAAAAAAGGGCGAGTTGCTTTTTTGTCCCCCAAAAAGTGTCTGTGCGTTTGCATAGGTTGGGTCTTCACAGAAGACAAGGAGAATCCAACGCTTTCTGACTATGTACAGGCCGGTCCGGGGCCCGCGCTGCTGCCTACGGGCCTTATAGACAGATCTCTTTCAATAGCCGCTCTCTGTACAGGATGGATAGCTCTCTATATAGGTATGTACAGCCCCCAGGCCTGGGGAGCCCTGCCCCCCACAGCCCGCGCACTGGGGCTGGCGCTGCACGTCCATTGCAGGGTACATGGACCCAGCCAAGCGTCTGGAGGGAGCCCGCAGCCTGGGTATCCCAAACCACGGCCAGGGCCGGCTGGCACCACAGAGCCCCCGGCCCAGCCACGTGGAGCCACCAGGCAATGGGACGGCTCAGAGGGGCTGTGAGCACAGACGCCCCGTGCATTTGCCATGGGGGCAGGAGGCAGCCAGGACGCGGTGGGGGCTGTGACACAGAGGCTCGCCACGCAGGATGCGCCACTCCCAGAAGGGCTGAGCCGAGTCCCCACAGGAGCCAGTCGCTGGAGTCCGGGGGCAGATCCCGTGCTCAGGCAGGTGAGGGGGGCAAACTCCCTCCTTGTCCTCACGCAGCAGCTCCCAGGGCAGGCTACATCCTCCGGTGCCCAGGCTGGCGTCTGCTGCCGCACCCCCCCACGGTGGGGGGGCTCAAGTGGGTCTCCGGCTGCAGCAGCGCAGAGATCAGGACCTCGCGGTTCCGTGTCAGGGCGGTGGGGGGCCCGGCTTCCCCCCGGCTTGCCCCCTTCTGTCTTTTCCAAACAGCCGCTGACAGAGTCCCAGCGCCGGGCGCGGGGGCAGCTGCTGTGTGGAGCCAGGCCCAGGCCCCCGCGGCCGGCCGACGCCAGGCTAGGAGGCCAAGAGCGACATTAGGAAAAACGCGGCGGCCACGGCCAGTGGCAAGTGTTCCCGCTTGGGGCTGGTGCCGCTGATGCTCTTCTCCAGTTTGGGGTTCTCGGGGTTAAAGTTATCTGTGGAGAGAGAGAAAGAGAGAGAGTGAGTGAGCCAGGGTGGCAGGGGCCATGCGGGATGGGGCAGAGTCACCCCCCCCGGGGCTGACGGGATGCAGAGCTGAGCTCCGCAGCGTGGACGGGTTTCCACCGGGCCCGGGACCCTACAAGGGAGTTCAGGGGCATTTGTGCTGCTCAGACACGTGTGGGTGGGTGGGTGGGGTCTTCTAGCCATTCCAACCCCGGCCTCTCCCAGCAGGGGGCGCTGTGGGGTGCAAGATGGAGCG